TTGATTTTCTGTCTGGTTGATCTGTCTAATATTGACAGTGGAGTGTTAAAGTCTCCCACTATTATTGTGTGGGAGTCTAAGTCTCTTTGTAAGTCATTAAGAACTTGCCTTATGTATCTGGGTGCTCCTGCATTGGGTCCATATATGTTTAGGATCGTTAGCTCTTCTTGTTTTATTGATCCTTTTACCATTATGTAATGGCCTTCTTTGTCTCTTTTGATCTTTGTTGCTTTAAAGTCTATTTTATCAGAGATGAGAATTGCAACTCCTGCTTTTTTTTGCTCTCCATTTGCTTGGTAAATCTTCCTCCATCCCTTTATTTTGAGCCTTTGTGTATCCTTGCATGTGAGATGGGTTTCCTGGATACAGCACACTGATGGGTTTTGGATTTTTATCCAATTTGCCAGTCTGTGTCTTTTGATTGGTGCATTTAGTCCATTTACATTTAGGGTTAATATTGTTATGTGTGAATTTGATACTGCCATTTTGATGCTAAGTGGCTGTTTTGCCTGTTAGTTGTTGTAGATTCTTCATTATGTTGATGCTCTTTAGCATTTAGTGTGATTTTGGAATGGCTGGTACTGGTTGTTCCTTTCTATGTGCAGTGCCCCTTTTAGGAGCTCTTGTAAAGCAGGCCTGGTGGTGACAAAATCTCTGAGTACTTGCTTGTTTGCAAAGGATTTTATTTTTCCTTCACTTCTGAAGCTGGATATGAAATTCTGGGTTGAAAATTCTTTTCTTTAAGAATGTTGAATATTGGCCCCCACTCTCTTCTGGCTTGTAGTGTTTCTGCCGAGAGATCTGCTGTGAGTCTGATGGGCTTCCCTTTGTGGGTAACTCGACCTTTCTCTCTGGCTGCCCTTAGTATTTTCTCCTTTATTTCAACCTTGTTGAATCTGACGATTATGTGCCTTTGGGTTGCTCTTCTTGCAGAATATCTTTGTGGTGTTCTCTGTATTTCCTGCATTTGAGTGTTGGCCTGTCTTGCTAGGTGGGGGAAGTTTTCCTGGATGATGTCCTGAAGAGTATTTTCCAGCTTGGATTCATTCTCTTCGTCCCCTTCTGGTACACCTATCAAACGTAGGTTAGGTCTTTTCACATAGTCCCACATTTCTTGGAGACTTTGTTCATTCCTTTTTGCGCTTTTTTCTCTAATCTTGTTTTCTCGTTTAATTTCATTGAGTTGGTCTTCGACTTCAGATATTCTTTCTTCTGCTTGGTCAATTCGGCTATTGAAACTTGTGCATGCTTCGTGAAGTTCTTGTATTGTGTTTTTCAGCTCCTTTAATTCATTCATATTCCTCTCTAAGTTATCCATTCTTGTTATCATTTCCTCATATCTTTTTTTAAGTTCCTTAGTTTCTTTGCATTGATTTAATACATGTTATTTTAGCTCACAAAAGTTTTTCATTATCCACCTTCTGAAGTCTAATTCCGTCATTTCGTCACAGTCATTCTCCGTCCAGCTTTGTTCCCTTGCTGGTGAGGAGTTTTGGTCCTTTCTAGGAGGTGAGGTGTTCTGGTTTCGGGTGTTTTCCTCCTTTTTGCGCTGGTTTCTTCCCATCTTTGTGGGTTTATCTGCTTGTTGTCTGCGTAGTTGCTGACTTTTCGATTGGGTCTCTGAGTGGACACCCAGATTGTTGATGATGACGTATTTCTGTTACTTGGTTTTCCTTCTACCAGCCTAGCCCCTTCACTGTATGACTGCTGAGGTCCACTCCAGGCCCTGCTTGTCTGGGGTGCACCTCTAGCAGCTGTGGCATAGTGAGGGATGCTACCCGTTTCTTTTTCTGCTATCTTTGTCCCAGGATGATGCCTGCCAAATGTCAGTCTTTTGGATATAGAGGGGTCAGGGAGCTGCTTGAGGAGACAGTCTGTTCTTTTTAGGAGCTCAATTTCTGAGCTGTGAGCTCTGTTGTTCATTCAGGGCTGTTAGGCTGCTATGTTTGATTCTGCTGCAACAGAGCTCATTAAAAAAACCCTTTTTTTCTCAAATGCTCTGTGTTGGGGGGGTTCGGGCTTTATTTTTCGATGTCCGTTGAGGTGTCCTTCCCAGCTAGGAGGCAGACTAGCCACTGTTTGCCTGCCGAGTCTCCGCCCTGCTGTTGTGTGATTCGCCCTGTTCCTGCAGGCTCATCTGTGGTCTCCGCCACGCCCTGCGGCGGAGTCTCTTCGTTGTAGCGTGTTGCCTCGGCAAGGGCAGGCTGCGTCAGCAGTGGGCATGTATCTCAGTAGGGACGGGTTGCCTCGGCAATGGCTGACTGCGTCAGCAGTGGGCGTGTATCTCAGTTGGGGTGGGTTGCCTCGATGGTGGACGCCCCTCCCCCACAGAGCGTCTCGGACCGTCTGCTCGTGATAGTTTGAAATCACGGTTTTGTTCGTCCCACTGGGTACCCCGAACGCTCTGTCCCTGCAATCCCCTGGGCTGGCCTACTGTCCAAGTCTCGTTCAGTCTCAAGTCCAGCCCTCTCAAGTCTCAGGTTGCCGGTTCAACAGGGCACCCGGACAAGCGTGCCCTGTGGGGATTACTGGGTAGGGCCGGCTGCCGCCGCCCCGGCTGCCGGCTTCGCCAGGCAGACTTACTGCCTGGCGTCCCATGTCTTTTTTATACTTGGGAGTTTCCCCGTTCTGTGGGCAACAAAGATCAGTCTGGAAATGCAACTACGACTCACCTCTTTGCGGATTCAATGAGAGCTCCAATCCTGGGTTGTTCTCACAGCGCCATCTTGAGTCCTCCTCCACGCTACTTCTTTTACATGTAGATCTTTATAAAATTCTGTGTATGAGTTTATACTTATTTCCATGATTGTCTTTTCTAACTCATGCATTTTCTTTTTCCATTTGTCTTTTATTTCTTCTTTGCTTTTTTGTTGTTGTTAAAACAGTTTTGCTCTTGTTGCCCAGGCTGGAATGCAATGGGATGATCTTGACTCACCACAACCTCCGCTTCCTGGGTTCAAGTGATTCTCCTGCCTCAGCCTCCCGAGTAGCTGGGATCACAGGCATGCATGACCACACCCAGCTAAATTTGTGTTTTTAGTAGAGATGGGGTTTTTCTATGTTGGTCAGGCTGGTCTCAAACTCCCAACCTCAGATGATCCGCCCGCCTCGGCCTCCCGAATGTGCTGGGATTATAGGCGTGAGCCACTGCTCTCGGCCTCCTGTTAGTGATTTTAAGTTCCATATTCTTTAATTCCTTTGGCAATTTCTATACAGGTGCGTAATTCTAGGTTGGCCATTTCCTTCAGTATTTAAATGTTACTCCTTTGATTTTAGTCATTGCAGATAAGAAGCCTGATGGTGGTCTAACTCTATTCCCTTTGAGATTTGTCTTTTCTCAGCTTTTAAGTATTTCTCTTTGTGCTCAATGTTCTACAGTTTCACTTGTGTAGATTTGTTTTATGTCTACTGCTTAGGATTCAATGTGCCTTTACGTCTGTGAACTTGTGTCTGTCAAATCCTGGAGGACTCTGCCCTCCTCTAGATGGTGCTTCTCCACATTCTCCCTTCTGGATCTCCTAATTGGACATATTTTTGAAGCATTTCTTTCTACTCTCATATTTTATCTTCTACATTTTCCATTTTTCTCTCTGTGCTCCATGCTAATTGAGTCCCTTCACTGTCTTCGAATTTACAAATTCCCTCTTTAGTCACGTCTGGTTTTATGACACCTAGACACTGAAGTTTTCTATTTCAATGACTATATTCTTCATCTCTAGAATGTCTATTAATGTGGTTGTCAAATCTATTATTAAGCTGTCTTGGTTTACCTTAGTTTCTTTTCTTTTTTTTTTTAAAGAGACTGGGTCTCGCTATATTGCCCAGGCTGGAGAGCAGTGACTATTCACAGGTGCGATCCCACAAGAGTTCAGTGGCTATTCACAGGTACTGATCCATATAGGAGTTTTCACCTGCTCCATTTCCAACCTGGGTTGGTCTCCCACTCCTAGGAGGTCACCATACTGATGCCGAACTTAGTGTGGACACCTGATTGGCATAGCGCACTATAGCCCAGAACTCCTGGGCTCAAGCCCCTGAGTTGAGCCCCACCTCAGTCTCCTGGGTAGCTGGACTCCACCGCGCCTGGCTACCTCAGTTTCTTTTTTTCTTCTCATCTCTTTAAACATGTTAAGCCTACTTATCTTCAAGTCTCTTTCAGATTATTTGATAATTATTACCAGCTCTTGGTGATGCAAATTCCATATATTACATGCACTGCTATCTCTGCCTCAAGATGGTTGAATTCTTTGTGTGGTTCATTCCCTGTTTTCTATGCACTTGGTGGAGGGGACAAACCTGTCTTCCCAGCTCAGTCCACAATTACTATCTCAGGTAAAATGTCTTAACATAAGACAAAGCCTTTGTTTCCTTAAAAAGAGAGACCCCCAAAGGGCTTGCCCTGTCAGCCCTCCAGAGTGTCCTGACATCTGAATGGGTACCTGGTACCCAAGAGCCATCTCTGAGAGCCCTCTGTCAGCTCTGCAGCGTGCCTTTCATCTCTCAGTACCCATTCTGAGGTACCAGGCAGTGAACTGAAGTTAATTCTGAGTACTTTTCAACATATTCATCTGGCCCTGTGTGACCCTGAAAAAGTCATTTAAAACTACCCAACTTTTCTGTAAAGTAGGGAATATTCTTTATAATTTAGAGACGGGTTCTTGCTTTGTTGCCCAGGATAGAGTATAGTGGCATGAACGTGGCTCACTGCAGCACTGAACTCCTGGGCTCAGGCCTTCCACCTGAGCCCCTGAGTAGCTGGGACCACAGCTGCATGCCACCATGCCTGGCTAGTATTTACGGGTTTTTTTTGTAGAGATGAGGTCTTGCCAATGTTGCCTAGGCTGGTCTTGAACTCTTGGGCTCAAGAGATCCTCCCACCTCAGAGTCTCACAGTATGCTGGGATTACAGTCATAAGCCACTGTGCCTGGTCTTTATTATTTTTTAAAATAAATATTGTAAGTATTATAGAACAAAAACTCCCCACAAAAATAACACATGATTTCTTAAAAAGAAATGGTTTAATTTCATTTTTATCTGGGAAAAAACAAATTGAGTTTAATGTGAAATGACAAACATGCTGACATGTCAAGTGTCATTATTTTATGGTATGCTTATTCAAAGTGTGAAGATACAGAACCTCTTTATAAATTTCTGGCATCGAAGATTCCCACTGCAGATAAAAACAGGTTGGTTATAAAATGTGAATTCATTAAGCATTCCATTTTTGTTCTTTGTTTTTATAAGAAATATTTTGTAGAAACAGTGTATAATAGGGTCAACTTTTGGAAATTGAATTATAAAATTTTAGAAAAAAGTTTTCTTTGCAAACCAAGAAGAGTCTTAATTTGACCCAGGGGAGTTGTCTGTGAAATTCAGTAAGCGGCTCAAGCTGCTTCAGAGCCCTGGTTTCTTCACAGTAGAAGCAGCCTTCTTTAGCGCTTACATTAAGACTCCAGCTTTTTCCAATTAGCCTCAATCAAAAAGTTTAACATACAGAAACATTTCTGTAGTGCAGTAAAAATGTCATTTTATATTAATTTGCATTATGAAAATAAGTGTGTATACCCAGTAATGCATAATGAATGTGAATCATGTAAGTATGGTCATAGTATTTGAAATTGGCTTTGAAGTATTTTTAAGTTCATAGAAAATAAATAAAACATTTTAATAACTGTATTAATAATCATTTTAAAATTTTATGTAATAAACAAAGCTTCAGGGCTCTGGGTGGTGTCTCTCACTATAAAGGAGGTGGTCGAAGGCCCCGCAGCATCATTCTGTCCAGTCCCCTCCAATATTGAAGGTTGCGGTTCAGATGCCACATTAACTCTGGCAGGTCTACAAAGGCTGGAGAGAAAGATGGGAATGTGATATCCTTTTACAGCCGTGCTTTACAGGTTTAGCTTTCTGCTGAGAGCATTTTAAAGAGTGATAGATAGGAGCAGGCATCTGTGTGAGGCTAAACAAACCTCGGCAAACACCCAGCAACATCAACGAGCCATGTCTAAGTTAGACCCTGTCCTCAATGCCAGCACCTCCTCCATAACCACCAGCTGAGCTGGTAACTTTGGCCAATACAACAGAAGGTAACTAATCTGCTTACCTGCCATTCAGCCAACACCTCTGGGCCTGGGGTATCAGAAGCAAAATGCCATGTGCCCCCACCTTATGGCCTGGCTCCGTGTGTGCTTCACATACACCAGCATCTCCTTCTACCTGCAGCCTGGAGCCACAGGCATCTGGTCTCAGTCTCAGAAGCCATGAGCTGCAGAGCTGGCAGTTTCCCCAAAGCCAGAGCTATCTCCACTGCTTCAGTCCTTCTCCCTAACCACATACCACAATTCTACGGACTCTCTGAGACAGAGGTTTATTTCCTGACCGGATCTGGACATTTATCAACCCTGTAGCCCCTCCCCCAGGGTGCAGCCCTCAGACTGAAGATGCCCATGGAGTATCAGCGGATCCTGTTCTTTGGTTTATTTGACAGGCTCCTGTGCCCCACCTGAAGTTAAAGGACGGTGACATGGTCAGAGACAGACCAGTCCTTCTGGTCCTATGTAGAGTGAGGCTGGGAGACGTAGGGGACAGCGGAGTGCAAATGGCTGGTGTAGAAACACCATGGATTCTGAGCAGCACTATTGCTTTTGAACCCTGGCTGCTCTACTACAAGCTGTGGGGCCCCAGTTCAATCCCCTCATCTATAAAACAGGTGTAACGACACCTGTGCCTGCCAGGAGTGTTAAGAAAGAACATCCGGCCCTCAGGGGCCCTTGGTGATGGTTCACTTCTCCCGTTCTCAAAAGCCTAGGCCCCAAATAATATTCTGGAGTCAACTGCACCCTGTTGTTTCAGATGCAGTTCCCATTAGTTAAAGGAAAATGTGCTATTTTAAGAAAGATTTCTTACCGTTCCAAGCAACAAACATGTATTTGATAATCTGACGAATGAAGGAGATTTGGGACTTGGGGATGCTGCACGTATTTCTGTCAAAACGTGGCATCTCCACAGGTAAGTGCCGCTGCTTCTCCTCATCAGTCTGCAAAGCAGAAAACGTCATGATCAAAAGGCCCCAGCATCTGGTTCAACTCCACCTAGGGGCAGCCCCTCCCCCAGGGAGGGCTCCTGCTGGCAGCCTAAGGTGGCTTGTGGTGAGAAGCCAATTGCCACCCCACTCAGCAAAACCATGTTTCATAGCAGATACCCAGTTGTTCTCAGAATGTGGACCACTCCATGTCAGGGGGGTCTGAGGACACCCCGACTGAAGCCAAACTTTGAATACTGTAAAGCCACCCTGCAGAGGCTCCTCAGGTCCCAACGGCAAGTGTAGTCAGCCACCACTGTCGTTCCTACTTACCTAAAGAAACTGGTCATCAGAGAGATGCAAATCAAAACCACATTGAGATACCATCTCACACCAGTTAGAATGGCCATCATTAAAAAATCTGGAGACAATAGATGCTGGAGAGGATGTGGAGAAAAAGGAACACTTTTACACTGTTGGTGGGAGTGTAAATTAGTTCAGCCATTGTGGAAGACAGTGTGGTGATTCCTCAAGGCCTTAGAAATAGAAATTCCATTTGACCCAGCAATCCCATTACTGGGTATATATCCAAAGGATTATAAATCGTTCTACTATAAGGACACATGTACACGAATGTTCACTGCAGCACTGTTTACAATAGCAAAGACCTGGAATCAACCCAAATGCCCACTGATGATAGACTAGATTAGAAAAATGTGGCACATATACACCATGGAATATTATGCAGCAATCAGAAATGATGAGTTTGTGTCGTTTGTAGGGACATGGATGAATCTGGAGAACATCATTCTCAGCAAACTGACACAAGAACAGAAAATGAAACACCGCATATTCTCACTCATAGGCGGGTGATGAAAAATGAGAACACATGGACACAGAAAGGGGAGTACTAAACACTGGGGTCTATAGGGGGAAAAGGGGAGGGCCAGTGGGAGGGGGAGGTGGGGAGGGATAGCCTGGGGAGAAATGCCAAATGTGGGTGAAGGGGAGAAAGGAAGCAAAACACACTGCCATGTGTGTACCTACGCAACTGTCTTGCATGTTCTGCGCATGTACCCCAAAACCTAAAATGTAATAAAAAATTAAAAGAAAAACAAAAAACTGAGTCAAAAGGAATAGAGTTTATTTGGGCCAAGTTGAGGCCAGCTGCTCAGGAAACATTGTTCTGGAGAATAAAGGAGATGCTCCAGGTTTTAGGAATTTTTATTGTACTGGTTTAGTGAAGGAACACTAATTAGTAATTGGCTATATGCTGCTGAATGATAGGGTGTGAGCTGTGGCATTGTTAGGTTAACTTATGGCTCCTGGCCTAGAGTCCACAGAGCAGGCGATTACTTATGTCAAGGTGAAGAGTGAAATGTAACTGCTGTCACATTTCACTGCCTCTCTGGGCCTGACAACTAAAAGGGGCTCACATTCCTCAGAGAAAAAGATCCTTTCTTTTCTCACTGCTATCACAGTCCAGACATCCTTGTACCCAGCTTGAAGCTCACACAGGGGCTACAATGATGAGACAGAAACACACCTTCACAGAGAAAGGCCTAGTGGCTGCTTCTCATCTAAGGCTGAATTATTTATCTGAAAAGGTTCTGAACACCCTTGAGATCCTGGAAGTTAAATAAAACCTCTGAGGTGAGTTTTTATATACTTTAGTCAGATCATGTCTCTTCAGGATTCCAGAGAGCCTTACAAAGCATTAAAACCATAATTAAGAACGTGAGAAAAAAGGCAGGCGTCCTGTTCTTTCTTTGATAAGGTCTCATTTTGCCCAAAGGGTGCTGGAGAAAGGGTGAGACAAGGCCCCTGGGGAAAAAATGAGGCACTGGAATGAGGCTGGAGTCATGAAGGCATTCTCTAGAGGCCCCTGTGCATGTGCAACTGGAAGCCCCACAAGGTCCCCGCGTGCTGGGCCAGGGTGCCTGTGCTGGGCATCAGGTCAGGATGAGAGGCAGGGCGAACACAGGTGGAGTGAGGTGGGAGTGGGCTGCAGGGAACAGCTCTTCAAGACGGGACCCTAGTACATGTGTGGGGCCAGGTGAAAGGATGGTCACTGCTGTGCTGAACACTACCCTTTCTCCCCAATGCTGGGGCTGGAGGGGGTGGAGCCAACCCTCTGGGGTCACTCTGGGAGAGCCTGAGGTGTTAGGCCAGGTGTGGTAAGAATGATGGGAGAAGGCTGGCTGAGCACACAGAAGAATGACCACTAAAGTCTCATCCCACTGTTGGCCACTCACAAGATGTGTCTTCTACACTCAGAGCTGTACTTTCACCTCCCAAATGGCCAGCAGAGCTCCCCCCATCACAACCAGGCTTCTGGCGACTGGCAGAACCCACTCGCAGCTCCTCCCCTTAGCCCTTACTCCACAGAGCTTAACCATGGCCACAGCACCTGGCCAAGAATATTCCCAAGCTTGCATTCATAGGCCCTCCAGGGAATGCTGTGCCAGGCCAGAAAGTTCTCTCATTCCAGCATCTCTCTACCCCAACCACACCTTTACAAAACCAGCTTCAGCACTTGCATGGGGCTTCCTCAAGTCACTAACTCCACTGTCTTTCTTCTGTGCCCCCCACTACCCTTCCCCATCTTCCTTACTGCACCTGGCCCAACACCTCAGGCTCTCCCAGAGTGACCCCCAGAGGGCTGGCTCTACCAGCTGTGCCTCTTGCCCTGTGCACAGAACTCACTGCAGCTCTCCATATGGGCTCTCCACTTGAGAACAGCAGGCAAACCTCTGGAGGTGTTCCTAGGATGGCACCGTACCTAGCACGGTGCTCAGAGGTACGTTTACACTAGGTAAGTGTTCATGGTGCTGGCTACGAGTGCCCAGAAAGAGGTCTGTGCTCCCTGTTTTCAGGTGGACAGTGCTAAACTGGGAATGGGCAAAAGCCAGAAGTAAGAACTCCTGCTGTTCTAGGTGGTTTAGAAGATGGAATTCATGTGCGTTGGTAAGAGGAGTGGGGAACGCTGGCTCAGCAGCTACTGGCTGGTGAAGGCCCTGCTGTTGGCCACAGGCTGGCGGCCCTAGCCCTGGTGCTGTCTCAGAAGAGCACAGTCAGCCTTACATGAGTCTGCCACGGTGTATATGGGAAGGATGGGGGCACAGGGAGGGCTTTGAGTTCACAGCCCATTGGCCTGTCCAGCTCAAATAGCAGAGCCCTGAATAGAGCACTCTCCTGATGTGCCCTCCCTTGGTCACATTAGACCCTAAACCTGCTCTCCCTGGGCAGCCATGGCAAAGGCTCAGTCAGCTCAGCCACTCATGCATCCAGAGGCTTTTCTGTCTCTTTACTCTTAGGGCCTGCCTGCCCCATCCACATGGAAGAAGCTGGCTGGTTGAAGGTCAGTGAAGACCCTCATGCTCAGATTTCTTCTCTTTGGTCCAATGTGACAAGTGCGTGGAGCTTCCAGGGACCCAGTTACCTCACGGAGATGGCTGTTTGCTAAGGAGACCAGTTAAACCATGGCCCAGGAACTCATCTAAGTCACCAGAGAGAGGTCCACACCTGTACATGCTTCCTTTCTGTGACCGCCATCCTCAGGGCAGGGTCTACAAGTTTCACATTTCACCCTTGGGCCTCAAGCGAAAGTAAGACAGACTGTACAACACCTTGCGCAGAGCCAGGTAAGTGGTCTTCAAGTCCCATTCCCCAAAAAGTCAAGCAGCCCCAGACAGAAACCAGAGATGCCTCTTCACCTTGCTTCAGGCCCTGGTGCTCTTGGTGTCCATGCTACTCAACAGAGAGGGTGGCTATAAGGAGGGAACTTGCAAACCTAACTCTACGCAATACAAGAAGCAACTGTGTCTCAATGACTTCCAAAGTCAAAGCCTGAGCACTTGAGTAACATCAGTAATGTGGTAGATAAGAAAGCTCCAAGCCCTCATTCCTCCATGAAAATATCAAAAAATGAGAGACTGGCTAAAATAACCTAGAGGAACTCTGGAAAACAGTCAAAAGTCTACAGCAACCAAGTGAATGCTCATCAAGAAAAGCCACATTCAAACAAGTAGAAAGCTTAAGGGTATTCTCACTTAACCTTGCCCTCCCCAGTGTGGCACAATCTTGATCTGTAGGAGGAAGCAGCCCAGTTTCCAACTGTGTCCCTTGAACAGGAGGAAGCAGAGCAGACCTTCTTTGCAACATTCTGACAAGTCTGTGGGCTGCCTACAAAACTGGTCTGTTTCACTTCGCTCCCAGGTAGAGAAGCGATGACTACTGCTCAGGAAAGCTGCAGGGAGATGACCGACATGCACACCTGGGGACGAGAGATTATGAACGAAGACCGACAATTGACAATCTAAAGCCCTCCTTGGACAAGACTCTGGGAAATTCAGACAATGGAAAGCAGCTGTGTATATAGGGGAACTAAGGGTATGTATATGCAGACTCAGGCAAGACATGCTCAGAAAAATGTTTCAGAAAACTTTAAACTTTCTTGTTGGGTTAACTGCAAGGCTCACAGACGGTCTTCAAAGAGTAGGAGAGGCGGCTGTTGTTAAAATGTCTAATTTTCCACAAAAATCACAAGGCACACACAAAAAATATGGCCCAATCAAAGGAAGAAAATAAAGACATACAGGCACTAGATAAAGAGTTGAAGATGATTGTCTTAAATATGATCAAAGAACAACAACAACAACAAAAACAGACGAAGTATTACAGGAAATCAGAAAAATGGCAGATGAACAACGCACTGAGAATAGCAGCAAAGAGAGAAATTATGAAAAGTAAACTAACAGGCCAGGGGTGGTGGCTCACACCTGTAATCCTAGTATTTTCAAAGGCTGAGGTGGGTGGGTCACCTGAGGTCAAGAGTTTGAGACCAGCCTGGCCAACATGGTGAAATCTCATCTCTACTAAAAATACAAGAATTAGCAGGGCATGGTGGCTGGCGCCTATAATCCCAGCTACTTGGGAGGCTGAGATAGGAGAACTACTTGAACCCAGGAGGTAGAGATTGTAGTGAGCCAAGATGGCACCATTGCATTCCAGCC